GCCGCCGTTTCCCCCCCCCCTTGCCCTGCCCCGCGCAGCCGCTGGGGAAAACAAAGCGGGAGTCTGGGGTGCGGGCCGGGGTGTCGCGGAGCCGGTGGGGAGCGGGCGGGGCACGCGTGTGGGTACGGCCGGGGCAGGCTCACGGGCTCTGCGCGGATGCTGCCGTAGCGTCGCTGTGGGTTTGGGTGTGTTGTTGTGTTGGTTTTGTGGTTTTTTTTTTTCTTTCCCTCCTGGAAGTTTCCTTCCTCCTTCCCTTTCTCCACCCCTTCCCTGGTCACTGCGTTTCCTTCCCCTTGTGTCTACCCGATTAGGACTCCCGTTCTATCCCCTCTCCTGATGAGAGGATAGTGCTGCTTCCTGCTAGGCCAGGAAAGGTCACTGACAATAATACACTTTTCTCTCCAGAACTGTGAATGATTTAGCAGTCTAGTTTTCCTGGCACACTCGTCGGGTAGGCAAGTCATAGGAGAGAGATGGAGGACCAAGTGATTTCAGGGCAGTGTTAGAGCTGAAGAGTAGGGAAGAGCACTCTCCCAGCTTCCTGCTCCATCCTCTGATGGTAAGATCTTGTCCCTTGGCTTGATCTGAGGTGATCATAGTGTTCCCTGATCCCGCTCCTGTAAAAGCCCAAGGTAGAGATCATTTCCCGTATCCTGTTACCCTCATGTGGCAGGACAGCATGAGCTGCTCCGCTTACTGCAGTGGAAGTGGCAGATCTACTCTTTAAACCGTCCAGATAACTGATTTAAAGAAACAGTTCTTCTAGTAAGTGACTGTGCTAAATCATCACTGCTGCCCCATGCCGTTCCTGCTTGCACACGCAGATTCAGAATAAAAAGGAGACGGGGAATTTCTGGAAGAGAGACCTCAAACTTCAAGTGTTGGCTTTAATTTAAATAAATTCAAGTTTTATGTTTTAAAATGAGTCAGCTAGGGGATTTCTGCTTAGCATATGAAAAATCCAGGATAAGTCCTGCAACATTTTGCAGCAGAAGTCTCAGGGCAGTGTCTCTGAAAAGGATGGTAGAAGATCTTTAATGTATAAAGCCCTAGTAAGTCTCCAGAGTATGAAGAAGGTCTAGAGAATAGATAAAAGTACGTGTACCAAACCTGTGCCTTTGCCCTTCTAACAGATCTGACTTAGAGGCAAGTGGGTGGTCTGTTGTGCTGGTCCCATACTGTGTCTGGGCCCTCTGCTAGAATCAAATTAGCTCTTCCTGAGCCCTAGCTGCCAAAAGGTTTTTTGAGGGCATGTCACCTCTGCGAAGAAGTGACTCATGGCAACTCTCCCCATTGATTTCACAGAGACCACTGTATGGCCAGTGGTCAACAGTAATTCTTTATCTTGGATATTTACAAAATGCTGTGTGGTGAAGTGGATACTGAACTGGGCCCAGTAGCAACACCCATCATCATTGTACAAGTTGATGATCTGTGTTGATGCTTCTGAAGTTCATATATGTCTTAAAAAGTTTCCTAAACATGTCAACTGCATAACACTGTACTTGCCAGATGTCAACTGATCCCCTGCCAGTTAACCATCTCTACTCTGCCAGCTTCGCTAATAGTCATGAAATGGCTCATGGAGTGTTCAGACAGTCCAGACAAAACTTTGGTGGAAATGTATTTTAACAGGGAAAATAACATGCATGATACATACATTTTTTTTTTAATCGAGTTGATTCCCAGTGCACCGAGTCCCTATAGAACAGTAGTGTCACATCATCTGTGTTCCAGTGTGAGGGTTTGAAGACTAACTCTTTCACAGGACAGGTACTGGTAAGCAGAAAAAGCCAGAGACTGAGAAATAGTTGTGACCCAAAAGCCTCCAAAACCCAATCCAGACAAGCTTTTAGTGGTCCTTGCAAGCATCAGTTTATGAGATTTTAGTACTTAAAATCTTTAGTCGTTAATCTGTTTTGCAGAAACCTGGCTTAGTACTGCCTGGAGTTTCCTGAGCTGGCCCATAGATCTGCCTCCTTTGTCTGATACTTCTTCTAATGAGGGTTCAGAAGTTAATTTCTGCTCCATTTCATTGGGCTCTTCAATAGCAATAAATAAGAAAGTTTGCCCAGGCAAACCTTAATATAGTTGTGTGTTTACAGTGTGGTCACACATAAATGATATAAGTTTAGATAGTTCGGGGGTTTGTGTGTGTTCTATTTTGTTTTTATCAGTGTGCTTATAACTGGTGAATGTGCTGTTTTATTATCTAAACTAGGTCAGCACATTATTTTAGCTACAGAGTTGTAATATGCAGCATCAGTGTAAATACTCTAGGTATTGGGCAATATAAAGTTTCATTACAGATTTGCTTTTCTCTCAAGATAAAGAGTTTCAAGTAAAAGAGAGGCAATTAATGAAATTTTCTTTACTTCTTACATCTGTGTATCCATTTGTCATATAGTGTTTTCTGCAAAACTTTCAGTAAGCATTATAAAATGACAGCAATGCAGTAATAAATGCTGAAATGAAATGGCATTTGGACAGTCAATAGCAACATGATTTGCCATTATCAGAGCATACATTCAAAGCAGAAAGCTATCCTTTAATCTCTCAGCAGAGCTTATTTTAGCCTAGAGCTGTGCTTGGCAGGGTTGTTGTCTGAATGTGTTTTGTTGTTAGGTAGGAAAGGGGCATGCTGGATGAATGTAAAAGTCAGCAAGTGACTCAGCCTGGCACCAGTGATTTGTGTGCAGCTTTTTTTGTTTGAAGCACATACATGAAAATGGAGCAGAGAATGCCCCCCACTGCAGAAGTATGATTTATGGCAAAGGCTTCTGGAACAAGTAAAGCTCTAAATACAACTGTTTTTCCTTGAGGACTTTATACTTTTTGTCCTAATTTGACCTTTGCAGGGATTGGTGACAGCTGCTTTTGACACACAGTGCCCTGACAAATGGGAGTTGTTGTTTTGACTGGTCTCACTGCCACTAACATAGATGCCACTCAAGACATTCCATATAGAGCAATTTACATAAGAAGCAGCACAGTTTTGTCTTGTGTTTACCATGTGGACTATGGGGTTTGGGTTTGCTGCACAGTATCATGCAATCATTATTTTACACTTGTGTTTCATAACAGAAATTTAGACTAGAGATGCTAGTCTTTCAAAATGAGCATGCCTAACTAACACTGACTCCCCTCGCCCATGCTGTGTGATGTTTCTGGGGCATTTATAACAGCCTTCATGGCTGCTTCCTGGGATGCAGAGGTAATTCTTGCTCATGTTTGGTTATCTTGTCTAACACAGCAGTCCCCTTAATCTGGTCCTCACAGCAAAATGGGGCATAAGGAGCCATCCTTTGGGTAACTTGCATGTCAAAAATGTTTGCATCAGGAATTGTCTCCTCATGTATTTACATTCAGCACGTAGCAAGAGGAGACTTCAGCAGTTGGTTTCTTGATGCTGGCATTAGAAAAGTAGATGTCTCCGAAGAAATTCAAAGTAATCTCATTTAATTGTTTTCTATAAGAATCATAGTGGGATTGTTACTAGTCTGATCTGTAAATAGTCCAGTCAAAGACTCTTAACATGTTTAAAAATATAAATGTGTTGTCCTGGTCTACCCTTTAGGAATTAGAACTGGTGGAGGATGTCTGGAGAGGGGAAGCACAGGACCTTCTTACCCAAATTGCACAGCTGCAGGAGGAGAATAAACAACTGATGACAAACTTGTCTCACAAAGACATTAATTTCACAGAAGAGGAATTTCAGAAGCATGAAGGCAAGTTTGATACTTCAAATTCAGTACTTGCTTTTGTTATAAAAAGCAATACTTATAAAAAAAATTTGACTGGATATTCTGGCTTTTTTCCTAAAAATTAATGCAGGTCTGCGTTATGGGGATTTGGGTTGGTTTTTTGTTTGGTTGGGTTTTTTTTACCTGAATAGAAAAATCTCTGAATACATGATGACACTGAAGACATGATAAGAGGTTGGGGTAGGAGGGGAAAAAAGCCTGAACAACTTTTTGTTTGGCTGAGAAGCCTCTCTGAAAGTAAAGTCTAGCTTCATTTTTTGGTCTATCACTTTTTTTTTCTTTTTAGTTCTCATTTTGCAAAAACAGCATTCTTAAGCCCTGCTCATGTTTTCTAATACAAACAGAATAGCAATGTTTATTTCACACCATTATGCACAAAAATAAGTGCAACTGTTGATCTGTTCAGGATAACTGCAGCAGTTTGTAAAGCAGCAAATCAAGATTTCTTTGTCTGAATTATATCAGTCTACCATATGGAGTTGTTCTAGGAGAACATCATGATATTCTCCTAGAATAGGAGAGACTGGTTTTACTTGGTTTACCTGCCTTTAGGGTTCCCTCACTTCTTTGGGACTTACAGCCAATTTAGAATAAGTGAAGAGATTTATAATCCAGGGAGCGGATGAATCCTAAAGAGTTGAAACAACCAATTTGCGGGCAACTTCTTTCTTGAGGCAGAATGAAGTTCAAGACATGAGATTCCGACTTGGAAGTACAGGTAGATTTCACTACAGCAACTGAAACAATTGCCATCCTCAGCTCTCGCCCACGGCTCAGCAAATAGCTCTTTCCCAAGAGCACAGGCAGATGAACAGATGTCTATTTGCTCCACAGTTCATAGCACGTCATTTGAGGCTGCTAGATACCAAGTCCATTTCATGATACTTGCTGGGGTTTAAGCTGAGGAGTTGGGGGGAAAAAAAAAAAAAGTCTGTGCAACTTTGGGGATGAGGCAGCCTTGAGCTGAGAGATGGAGCAGACTAACGGCGTCACTCCAGCAGCAAAACCTGCCTGTGATGGTGAGTCAGTCTGGAAGTGGGTGGATCTCTGAACTATTTGTCCATGGACAGGACTCTGATCCACTGCTTCAAGCCACAGCTCCACTTTCACAGTAGGTTCTGATCATCAGTAAAGTTATGGCTCCCTCAAAAGGCTAACATCCTGTGTGTAGCATGCAAAGTCACTGGCCAATCTGAAAACCAGACCACACAGCTGAGCCATTGCAGCTCTCCCGCAAAGCATTAGGAACAAAGGGATATCCTTTTCCAGACACTGGAGGTTGGGATTAAATGAAGACTTGCTGTAGGTAGATGAAACTCTGTCCAACACTGCAGAAGTTGCACTTGCTTTCTGCCAGAGGCTGAGTACTGCTTACTTGCCCTGGAGAGGAGTATGATGAAATCTTCAAAAAGTAAAAATTGTTAAACCTCTCAAGATCACTTTTTTTTAAAACAAATAAACACTTTCAATTTAGGAGTCAATTAATGGCAAAGAAGTAGCTCAACATCAGCCTTACAAACTCCATGCAAAATTTCACAATGGCAGTGATGAGTCACGGACCATGAAGACTATGACATCTTGTTATAAAGAACCGTCTTCCCCTTTGTTTTCTCTTCTTTCTATTTTTTTTTTTCTTCCAGTGGGTATCTAGCTCACTGCAGCTCATGTGCTTGTATTTAAATATAGCCATACTCTTCACATTCAGCTAGCCAAGCAAATGCCAGGCATGCTTTTCATGTTATTTTTACTGTGTCTACCGAAGTATAATAACACAAACAAAACCCATAAACCCATTCCAGAGATCAGATTTTGGGATCACTGATATTCATTGGCCAAAGCAATCAGTTTAAGTCAATCACATTCATTTATAGCAACCCCATCTTATTACTGGGACCTATTATATCAAACCCAACTGTTTTCCTTTTAGGAAATTTTTTCATTAGCAAATGGCATAGATTTGTCTCAAATGACTTGTTTGGCTAGCGCCAAAAAGCAGTCATGATGCTTTTTTTTTCAGTCTTCATCATTTGATCTGATACATGTAGAGTGTACAGAGGCAGGTTTTCAAGCTAAACACTTTGTTAGCTGGACTAACTTTGACCAGACTCCAGCCTTCATATCTCAACATGATTTAGTATTGTGATCATGTCTCCCCTTAGTGGCTAGCCCCTGGGATTAACAGCTTGCTGCTTACTCATCAGACAGTTAAAGGGGTTATTTTTAGCACAGGCAACAGAGGCCAGTGATTTGAGTGTGCAAGACTTTGAGATTCAATCCTTGCCAATTAATAAGTTGCATCAGAGTTCACAGAGCCTCACTTTAGCATAATGAAGGTTTTTATGACAGAGGCAGGGGCAATCCTATCTGAACAGGAGAGTTCTGCACAGAGGGCACCTGCTGAGAGTCTGAGCAGAGCAGGGTTCATGTGAAAGGACATGTGGCAGAAGAGAGAATACACAGGGGTTAAAGATGAGTCTGCAATATCCATTAATGCTACTCCTCCCAGGCTCAAACTGAGCACTACTTGATGGTGCTGACTGATTGGAATATCCTAGCAAAATGCCACAAGCAAACTTGACCCAACGTGTGTCAAACAGGACGAGCAGGCTGCTGTTTCACTGCAGCAAGGGGAGCTGCTGTCTCAGACTGGCTGTGGTAACATAGACAAGCAGCAGGATGTCAACAGTTGTGTGAACCTCTTGTGCTAGGCTGCTGAGGAACCTACAATTCCCTTTCAAAAGTGGAGGCAAACTGCTATTCTAAGTATTTTGGTAGTGGTATAGTGCCACAGGCCCTGACTGGCACTTTGGCCTGTTGCGATAGATGTTCTATAAACACAGCGGTACACAGGTCCCTAAACAAAAACGTAGAGGATGTTCTGGGGTTTTTTTCCTTCTTTTTTTTTTTCTTTTTTTTTTCCCCAGCTGCTTTCCTTTGTCTTGCTTGAACAATCCTATGATCACAGCAATCCACAGGAAGCTGCTCATAGGATGTACCTAGGGAAGCTGGCTGGGTGTGCCATTTAAGATCTTGCAGTTATTAGAGTTTGAATCATTTAGAGATAATTACTTTACATTTAGGGCACTTAGTGATTTCCCTTTCCTCTTCCCCAGTGCCTGAGGAAATGGAAGAAGATGTGAGTGTTTCATAAACACTTCCCACCTTTCCTTTCCCGTCCTCTTGAAATAAAATGATAATGTAGTGATCTGTGCACACAGCTGAAGTCTTTCAGGTTCACTAAATGTTAGGGAGAAAAATAAGCACAGTGGGAGGAAAAACAGTCAGCACTGAAATGGTACTTATTCTTTAAATAGAACCTGCTATCTAGAGATCTCAAAGCATCTCACAAGTACTAATGAATATAGCTGCACTCACTATTCCTAGCTTCTACTGGGATGAAACCACCTGTCTAAAGTTTCACTGCAATCCCTCTGTACTTCAAGGCAAAGTTTTGGATTTTTTTGGTTTTAAAAACAGCTGATGTTTTAGGCCCCAGCCCTGAGACTGGCTGCAGAGTGTGGATCCGGGAACCTGTAGTGAGTTTGTGGATACAGTGGTGTATCAGACCTGTGTTGTGATAGGAAAGTGTGGATCTTCTAGAATAGTTAAGTAGCAGTATGTGTCAGTGTCTGCTTGTCCTCCCTGGTGGGTATGAGCTGTTATCACTGTGAAGAATTAAAATTATTTTGCAAAGAACTAGGACCTAGAGCAGAGGTGATAAGGACCAGGGTCCAGAAATAGAGCAGGCAAACTTACCACAGAATTAAAAAAGAGGAGAATGTAATACTAGAATGTGAACACCATATCACTCTCAGCTCTTTTCTGGGGTTTGACAGGAGCACGTCCTCTGAACCAAATTCCTGGCCAGCCATGATCACTAGTCCTTTTCCCAGCAGAACAGTTACTTGTTCTCTGCTGTACCATAGCTCTGGGAGACTCTACGTCCTTTACCAATGAGGGATCGGAGCTGCTGTTCCCTCTGTTTGCAGTAGTACGGTTTTTATGCCTGCATGGGAACCCACAGCTGCTGCGGGAGTGCACATCCACCAAGAGTTACTCCCTTTAGCTCTCTCTGTCTCTCTCTCGTTTGTCTTGCTCTACTGTATTATCCATCAAACTGTAGATGATCTGTAAGCTGGAGTCCTAAAGGCATGCAGCCTACATTCTCTTATGGGAACAACTTTGGATTTCTGTGATGAGGGAAGAACATAACCAGAAAGTCTGAGCTGTTGTTAGAAAATAGAGACTTGACAGCTGGATACATTTGATGTGTATGCAGCATATTTCTGATGTGGGATGTGGGAACTGCTTTAATACATTAAAAAGGAAGTGGCTTTCTAGCCACCCCACAGGGGTGACTGAATTATTGCCACTTGCAGCTCATAAATGGAGGAAGCTGAGGACCCAAGTAACTGAGTACTTTGCCAAAGGTATTAGAACAAGACAGCAGTAGACCCTGGATTTGAGCTCCTGCTTGGACTAGACTTTGGCCAGAGCAGCCACACACTGCCCTGGTCACAGGCTTTCATCTTCAAGCTGTCCTCTGGGTTGTTGTGCAACGTGATTTTATGCGATAGTTGAGGACCATCAAACTGCATGTCTCTGCATGTTATCATGAAAAGTTAGTGTCGTACATCCATCATTTCATCAAGTTAAATCGTCTAGTCTGTGTTTGCTCTGAAGAGCCTGTCACTGTAGTGCCAGGAGTTCTCGATTATCTCTGTAATGGTAATGGAAGAATACTTCCTATTTTATGATTTATGACATTTCCTAATGATTCGCTGGTCAGATTTCAAGTTAATCTAATCCTTTATTTATTTTCAAACAGGATCAGTGTTGGATTCTTGGCAATGTTCCAAACATCTTTCACAAGTGAAATGCCATGTAGTATTTTTTTTGTGCAGTACAGTTATTCTAAATAAGAATTATCAAACAATAGGATGGGGAAAGGGTTGCAAAACATGAGGAGAAAATATGTGACCATAATTCAGACTAAATTTCTGTTCTGGATTCAGGGTGGGCGTACCCTCTGGAGGTCCTGCTTCATCTCCCTTTCATCCAACACAAAACTGGGTTTCAACATAAAATCATTCTAGTCCAGTGCACCTCAGCTGGTTTGGATCTAGATGCAATCCACAACAGCAACATTTTGTTTAGATCTTGCTGAGGATCCAGACCATCTTTTTTACAATTTTCACAGGGTCTTGGCCAGCTGATTCTACAGATTATCACACAGGTAACGAAGCTTCCTGGTGCGTAGTGTGAACACTAATGTAAAACTACTGAGGCAGCAAGAAGTGGCAGTGTCACTCCACTGTTATAGATGTTTCTGAGGACTGTCAGTTCCTTTTTTAAGAAGTTTGTGCAGTGGCTTTATGGAGTGGATTGTGTCATCTATTTTCCCTGTTACTCTTGAGGTGACCTTTAAAGCATCTTCTAATAGCTTCTCTGTAATTCTACCAGCAGGCAACTTCCAGAGTCTTTACCTAAATATTTCTCACTCTTATTGTTTTCAGTCTTAGCAGCTCCTGATTGTCCTTACTTTGTTTTCTGTGTCTTTTTTTAACCAGGAATGTCAGAGAGAGAGCGGCAAGTCATGAAGAAGCTGAAGGAAGTGGTAGATAAACAGAGGGATGAAATCAGAGCAAAGGACCGGGAACTTGGACTTAAAAATGAGGATGTAGAGGCTGTAAGTGGCTCTTAGTCTTCCTGTTTCTCTTCTTTCTCACCCATACTTCCATAGCCTGGTTTCAAGTTTTAAGTTAATGTAGAATCTGTAAGCAATGCCAGATTATTAGTCCAGTAACTGAAGTGTTCTGCATAACTTTGGAGTGTCCAAAATGATTAGGCAGTCTTCAGTGCAGACAGACAACCTCTGCTGCATTCAGAAGGACCAGACACACTCGGAATGTGACTGGAAAACAGTGTAACAAGAGAGGAAGATGGGTGAAGGACAGGTTGTTGTGTTTGTTTCCTTAAAGACCTAATACCTCTCCCCTTTCATGGTAGCTTTCTCTGGCTTCTTGAATCTCTCTCTGCTTTGGCAGTGCAAACTTCCTCAGCAACCCCCCCATGCCTCACTCCACCCAGAGATCCCTGCTGTGGGTGAGCGGGCTACTGTATATTTTATATATATTCTCTGCAGAGATTGGCAGCAGGGCCTCCACACATGCAGTCTCACAGCAGGGATGCAATGTGGATTACCTCTTTGCAAGGGGGTAGGAGGAAGGGGCCTGACCCCAGCCTAGCCCAGATCACTTACTTTTGCCAGCAGTGAACAGAAGCTCACTGAGAGGATGGGTGGCCCTGGGGACCACAGCACAAGAGATCCGGGTTTAGTGTCAGATGAATCACAGACTCCACTGTGACTTTGGGAATCACATGATGTCTTGGTTCTTTCTGTGTCGGGAGGAATGACCTCCTTACCCATATTTCACTTCCCATTCTCCTGCTGCCTCATCTCCTTGGGTCATGGGACTTTTCTGGTGCTACTGAGGGCCATACCTAGATGATCTCTGCTCTACCCAAGTGCCTCTGGCAGGTGCTGTGGCCTTTCAAAACGGTGCTGTCCATATGATGCCCAGCAGGTCACATCCTGCCTTATGAGAGAGCTTAAGAGCTCAAAGCAAAGTACTTATAAATTGAATACTAAGGATTCCTCTGTCTTGTCTTTCTTCAACTCTGGGTTAAGATTTGATTCGGAATCCCATAAGCCACCCTATCCTTGAACTTTGCTTTTTTGAAACATAGTATCAGAAGTGATGGATTTGGTTTTAGCTGAAGAATTCGCTGTGCTAGGGGAAAAATGCCTCTTTACTCTAGAAACCAATTAAACTTTGGTGACTGCAACTGTAGTAGATAATTAGATATTCAAAAAACTAATCTGGGGGTAAGGAGGGGGAAGAATTTTCTTTAACATAATGTTTGTGACTTGGCCGTCATGGCTGATGGCTGAATGGATGCTGACCTATCGGGTCAAAGTTTTTCAGCTTTAGG